GTGGCCAAAGGGCCGAGGGGGTCTCGCGCTGGGTAAGGGGCGTTCGGGAAGGGTCGGTTGGGGGCGGGAAGGGGCTGAGGGGGGTGCTGGGGTGGGTTCAGGGGGTCCACCATAGCGGAAGAAGGTACAGGGGCCGAGAAAAAAGAACAGCCTTAGAGCTCAGGGCCCAGCAGGGTGAAGAATCAGGGGTACCTGGGGGAGAGCAGCGGGGAGGAGAGGGAGCCGGTCAGGGTGCGGGGAGGCGAGAGCAGGCTGTTGAGTTGAGAGATGAGGGTGAGAGTGAGGGACCAGAATAATTCCTTCAGAAAAAAGCAAATTACGATGTAGGAAGGGACGGGCGTAGGAATCTCAGATTCGGGTGAAAAATAGAGGATTCGAGTGGTAGGGTGGAAAGAAAATCTTGTAGAGCCCCCTATGCGTTAGCACTCTAGAGAGAGGAGGTGGGCAACAGGAATGGAAGCCGAGGGGACAGTTGAGAGAAACTGAGAGGAAAGTTGCAAGAGAGATTTGGATGAGATGTGAGGGAGCTGGTTTTTCTGACACGGGATCTAGGCTGCTTGGTTTTCCGTGGATCCTGGGGAAGTGTCCAGCCCTACATGTGGCCACATTCATCTGGGGCCAGGCTTTGGGCCAGAGCTTTAACACGGAAGGACCCAGGAGTCATGGTTTGGTGGTGTCTGGATGGGTTCCCCCCAGGCCTTGCTGAGCCATGGCGAGAACTCTGGAGATTGGGTTCTGGGTCCCTGCACTGTGCACCTCCTTTCTCACCTTCAGCCAGGAGCAGCAGGGACTGTAGAAACTCAAGGATGAGGGTAAAGGCACTGTCCCAAATCCTAAAAGTATGGAGTAAGGCCTAAGAGCTCCCTCTTGGCCTGTCTCTCAGTAAATTCTCTCCACCTCATATTTATTCCCTGGGTTCTATCAGGAACCAGGTTAGGACAAGCAAGTGATCTTGGGGTATCTTGTACTTCTTTCAGGAAATAGTAAAAGGGGAGCCGAGAGTTGGGTGGACCTGGCTGTAATTATTATGACTTTGTTATTGTAGGGGCTTTCTCTATAGAAGGTGGCCTGAAAATTGAATTGGAGTGTCCTTGTTTCTCCTATTGTGCAGGGGAACATAGATGGCTGGAGACAGAATCTAGAGCCTTTAAGTAATGTGGAGATGTTTCCAACTCCAGGTCAGTGGCACCAGGTAAGGGGACTGATGATTACCTCTCACTAAGAAACTGACCATTGTTCTTGTTATTCCTCAGGTTCCACTAGGCTGATTCCCCCCTCCCACTTCCAACCTCGGCCCCTTTCAGCTCTGCCAAGAATGGCTCCCGCCTGGGTCTCAAACATTCCCCTGGTCCATCAAGATGTCTCAGAGAGGCAGCTAGACACCCAGAGACCTCAAGTGACCACGTGGGAACGGGATATTTCTGGTGATAAGCAGGAGCCAGGGCGGAGAGGCAGGTAGGGATCCATCTTTGCCGTTTTCTCACACTCTCTTGCTAGTGACCCTTCTTCGCTGGAATAGATTCCTTATCCTCTTCTAGCCCTTGGTTCCATAACTTGTTTTTTTTTTTTTTTTTTTTAAGAAGGATGACCGGTAAGGGAATCTCACCCCTTGGCTTGGTGTTGTCAGCACCCTGCTCAGCCAGTGAGCCACCCGGCCATCCCTATATAGGATCCGAACCCATGGCCTTGGTGTTATCAGCACCGCACTCTCCCGAGTGAGCCACGGGGTGGCCCATAACTTGTTCATTTTTACATAGACAATTATTGGTGCCTACAATGCAGTGTGCTAGACTCTGGAGATGGGGATAACAAAAGTGAATAAGAGAGATCCTGACTTCACTTTTAAATTAGTAAGGAATTTAAAATCCCAAGGGAGGAGTTAGATTGACCAACAGCTGGTCATAAAGCATACTGAAGGCAAGAGGAAGAAGCACAGTCTAGAAGTGTAGACCTAGGACTGTAGCATGACCTTATTCTGATGGAGTAGTTGAAGAAAGCCTTTACAGAAGACATGCCATTGGAGCTGGCCCTGCTGTCTGTGAATGTGTTATCTGTAAAATGTCTCATTCTTCTTGTTTCATGTGTCTTTTCCCAAATATACTGGGATGTCATTCTGCCATTTTGCTCCAGGGAGAGATTACATCACAGAGAAAGGAGCATGGTGAAGAAGGGGGAATACTAGATGAGATGTCAGGAGACAGACTCTGTACTTCTAGTTTGGCTGCTGGCTAAGGGACCTTTGGCAAGTCATTTAATTTCACTAACCTACGGATCCCTGCCTCTTTAAAAAAAATCTTATGTTTCTGGATCTGAGTAAGGGAGCTGTCTCAGAAGCCGTGTTACAAGCTGGTTTAAACTTTACAGCAGTAGACTATATTCTCCAAAGGTTGGGACTGTGTTATTTATTGATGTCCTCTCAGATTCCTCATACAGTATAGCTAACACTCAGTAAATGACTTTAACTAGTTCCTGGCCTCACCATATTGATACTGGAAGCTCATGACCTTTCTACACTGGTGCCTCCCTCAAACTTGTCCTTACCGTTTAATCAGAATTCAGAAGTCTCTATGTGTTCTTCAACCTCTCCACTTAGAACGTGTGGCCTAATGGTGTGCATGTTTGATGTTAAATACATCTGCCGGCATATAGCTCTCTAGAGAGATAATCTTCCATACCCTCAGGTAGCCTTTAAGTCCTGAGGGCCCAGGCATGATGATGATGATGATGTAAATGCAGAGATTCCCCATGCCACAGCTTCATCTCCCCCACCTCCTCACACAGGAGCTGAGGGGTGCTCTTTTCCTTCTGTTTTCATTTGTGCCCTTGGCTACTGTCTTAGTTCATTTCTGTTGCTTATAACAAAATACTTGAAACTGGATGATTTATAAAGAAAACGAAATTTATTGCTTACAGTTTCTGAGGCTGGGAAGTCCAAAATCCATCTGGTGGTGACGACAGTGACCCAGGGGTCTCAGATTGCAAGACGGTGGAAGCAGAGAGAGAGCAAGGGGACAAAGGAGAGCCTCTTTGTGCTCTCCTTTTAATGCCCTCCAAACCACACCCATGACCACCATTTTTAATCCATTCACTACTGGCGTGGTCCTATAATCTAATCACCTCTTCAAGGCCCCCCCTTGAATTACCGTAATAGGATTTCCCACCCTCTTAACAGTCAGTGGGGGCCAAGTTTCTAATACATAAAACTTGGGGGACACAATTCAAACTTCTGTGAGTTTTGGGGGACATCATGCAATCCACTACAGCCTGCCGTCCAGAGCCAGAGACATGTCTCACCGGCACCAACCTGTCTTTGAAGGTCTCTGGAGCTGGTGGGGTCACAAGCCCTGAGCCAGCAGGCTGAGCTGATCTCTCGGCAGCTGCAGGAGCTGCGGCGGCTTGAGGAAGAGGTCCGGGTCCTGCGGGAGACCTCACTGCAGCAGAAGATGAGGCTGGAGTCCCAGGCCATGGAGCTGGAGGCTCTGGCACAGGCAGAGAAGGCTGGCCGAGCTGAGACCGAGGGCCTGCGTGCTGCCTTGGCTGGGGCCGAGGTCATCCGGAAGAACCTGGAAGAGGGGAGCCAGCGAGAGCTGGAGGAGGTTCAGAGGCTGCACCAAGAGCAGGTGAGTGTGGGGGTGGAAAGGGTTCAGATTCATAATGGGGTGAACTGGGCAGTAGCCTCCCAGCAGAGCTCAGGTATCTCAGAAAAGACCCCCATGAGCAGTGGAGCGATGAGATCTTTGGAGAAGGAGAAAAACACAGGTGGCCTGGAAAGAAGGAGAACTTGGGTGTTGGAATATTCAGATTGCACCTTTTCTACAGGACTCAGGTGACCTCCCAGCACTTGAAGCTCTCCTTCCCCTTCCAGTAGGAAGTAGTTTACATCCTTATTTTATTCCAGGTACTCAGTTCATCTGGGAGCATTGTGGGGGGCAGTGGGGAAGGTGGGTGTGGGGTCCTACGGTGGACTGCGAAAGGGAGATTATTCCACCAGCAAACTCAGTGCTTGCTTTTTGCCATCCCTGAGACTCAATAACTAAATCAGCTCTAGTCCCTGCCCTCATGGATGGAGCTGACAGCCTAGTGGGGGCCATTCACACTCAACATTTAATTCAATCATAATTAATCAATTGCAGTTGGGAGAAGTGCTTTGAAGGAGAAGGACAGGGGAACCCTAACTTAGTCTGAGGGTTAAGGAAGGCCACCCTAACTAAGCAACATGTCAGGAAATGAAACCATAAAGGTACTAGAAGGAAATATGGGTGAACTCCTTTATAATCTTGGGATGGGGAAGGCCTTTCCACCTGTGAGTCAAAATCCAGAAACCATAAAAAAAAGAATGATAATATTATAATATTAACATTAGGAGTGACAAAAATAAGTTAAAGGACAAATAATAAACTAGAGGAAAATATTTACAGCTCATACCACAGGAAAAGTCTAACATCTGTAACGTATAACATGTGCCTAGAAATTGGTAAGGGGAAGCCCAGCCATTCAATCAGAAAATGGACAAAGGAGATAATTCAAAGAACAATATAAATGACCTTTAGATTCCTGAAAGAAGTTTAGTATTAGGCAGGTGACTTTTGTGCTGTGCGGGAGATGGCTGGTGAGGCATGTGGGGTGGCGATGGGAGCAGTGGATGCTCCTGCGAGCAGCACGTGGTGGCCTGGGCCAGGCAGAGGCGCCAGAGCATGAGGGGCCAGTTCAGAACTTCATACTTTCCCTCAAGAGCAATGAGCAACTGTGAAAAGGTTTTTTTGTTTTTGTTTTTTTAAAAGATGACAAGTAAAGGGATCTTAACTCTTGACTAGGTGTTGTCAGCACCATGTTCTCCCAAGTGAGCTAACCGGCCATCCCTATATAGGGATCTGAACCCGTGGCCTTGGTGTTATCAGCACCGCACTCTCCCAAGTGAGCCACGGGCCGGCCCTCATGGAAAGGTTTTAATTAGGGAAATGACAGATTAGATTTGTATTTTATGTCTAAAAAGACCAGTTTTGTGATTTATATCCAAGATAATCAGTTCACTGTCGTATGGAGACAGGGCTAGAGGGGGACAGACCAGGAAGCAGGGTAGCTGCTTTTCCCTTCCTTCTCAGTCCATCCCATGACTCTTAGTGGCTCTGACATCCCTACCACGATTTCCAGTGAGCAAAAGAGACGAGTCCACCCTTCCTAGAGCTTCCTTTCCAAGGGGGTGTGACAGCAAGCACATACGTGAGTAAGATCATGTCAGATGCTAGTAAGTGCTCGGAAGAATGCAAGCAGATGACAGGACAGAGTGGGAGGGATTAGAGGGTCAGGTGAGGCCTTCCTGAGGAGGTGATGTCACCCGAGATCTGCAGAGCATGGAGGAGCCACTTTCTGGTTCCAGGTAGACTCAGTGTGGCTGGGGCAAGGGGAGCAGGGGGAACCACAGGAGACGAGTGCAGAGAAGCAGAGGTCATGGTGGGCTGTGCAGGCGTGGGAAGCAGTAGGGTTTTGTTCTCAATGCCATGGTGAGCCATATGAAGGCTTTTATTTATTTATTTATTTATTTATTTAATTTTTTTGTCTTTTTGTCTTTTTGTCTTTTTTCCGTGTCCGGCAACGGATCGCAACCCTCAGTGTTGCCCCCGTACCAGACCGGGGACCGGCAACGGGATCACAGCCCTCGGCGTTGCTCCCGTGCCTCGCTCAGCCAGTGAGCGGGAACCGGTCTGTATGTGGGATCCGAACCCTCGGGCGGGAGCGCCGCCGCGCTTCCCAAGCGGCGCACTATCCATTGCGCCACCGGGCCGGCCCCATATGAAGGCTTTTAGACTAGTTAGGAGTTGCTGTTGTCCAGGCAAGAGATGAGGCTGGCAGGTTAGCTCAGTTGGTTAGAGCATAGTATTACAACACTAAGGTCAAGTGTTCAGATCCCTGGACTGGCCAGCCACCAAAAAAAAAGAGAGATGAGGGTGGCTTACCTGAGTTTGGCAGAGGAGACAGGGAGAGATATGCGGGGAGACCTGACAAGAACTGCTGTTGGGTTGGGGGGGTGACCAGGCGATCAAGATGCCACGTGCAATTGGATAATTTTTTGGGTCGTTCTTCAAGGTCACAGAAAGTGGGGGTGAAGGGACAAGGTCAAAGCAGGGGGCAGGTTTGGATGGCCCTAAGTTGGGAGTGAGCTGAGGCCCTGCTGAGCCTTCTTTTCTCTCCACAGCTGGCCTCCTTGACACAGGCTCACCAGGAGGCTCTTTCTAGTTTGACCAAAAAGGCTGAGGGCTTGGAGCAGTCTCTGAATTGTCTGGAAACCAAGAGGGCAGGGGAAGCTAAGGAGCTGGCTGTGGCGCAGAGGGAGGCCGAGCTGCTGCAGAAGCAGCTGAGGTGAGTGGGCAGGAGCGGGCATCCTAAGGGGCCCAGCAGCTGTGGTGTGCTGGGTCTCCAGGGTGCCCCACGGATGGCTGCCCTATTCCCACACCAACCCTAGCAAGACCCAAGAAGACTTGAAGGCTCAGGTGACGCTGTCTGAGAATCTGAGAAAATACGTGGGGGAACAAGTCCCTCCCGAAGAACAGAGCCAGGCCTGGGAACTGGAGCGGCAGGAGCTTCTGGAAACTGTGCAGGTGAGAGAGACAGTGCAAGGTGCCTGTGTGTGGGAGTCGGGGTGGGATGTAGGGGCATATAGATCTGGTTGTGGGGTACGGGTGGCCCCTGGCAGCCACCGAGAGCAGTCCCCAGGAGAGACTGGCTGTCACCTGGAGGCTGACAAGGAGGCCCTACCAAGGGGCTGCTCTCCCTCCCCTGCAGCGCCTGCAGGAGGATCGGGATGGCCTGCACAACACCGCCGAGCTGCTGCAAGTGCGCGTGCAGAGCCTCATGCACATCCTCACCCTGCAGGAAGAGGAGCTGACCAGGAAGGTAGGGCCCTGCTCAGCCCACCCCCCGCTAGCCCCAGCCTCCGTCCCTGCGTCCGGGGAGAGTTGGTGTGCTGCCAGGACCTGCTCGGGATCTTTCTCTCTGCGAACTCCTCTTCTTGCTGTGGCCCCTGTTGCTCAAGGGGGACAGAGAAAATGAAGATACCACCTCCTTTCTCCACTTCCCCAGGAGCCCACACTTTCTCCCACCCTCAGGTTCAGCCTTCCAACTCTATGGAGCCCGAGTTTGCCAAGAAGTGCCAGTCTCTGCTGAGCCGCTGGCGGGAGAAGGTGTACGCCCTTCTGGTGCAGCTCAAGGCTCAGGAGCTGGAGCACAGAGACTACGTTAAGCAGCTGAAAGGACAGGTCACTGGACCCTCTTCTCCCTATATCCCCTCAGCTCTTTGCTCCTAACATAAGGATGGCATTTATTTAACAATATTTGTTGAGTGGTTACCTCATGCTGGGCACAGCCCTGAACAGACAAGTCCCGCTCCCCTGGAGCTTACATTGTGGAGCAGAGACCCAGAAAAAAAAGGAAAGCTAGATAATATCAATTAATTATATGTGCTATAAAGAAAAACTTAAAAGATAATGTGACTGAGAGAAACTGTGGGGTGTGTCTGTCTTCATTAGGATAGTCAGGGACAGCCTCTCTGAGGAGGTGACAACATCTGAGGCTGGGCGTCATGGTCAGAGATGGTGGATTCTTGTGGATGAATGGGGGGACAGTTCCTCAAGGTGTGGGCACATGGAACATGCTTCTGGAAGGAAAACTGGATGGACTCCATTCTTAGGAACAGAAGCTTCTTGTCTTCCTGCATGGCATTCTTTCAGACATCTGCACCTGTTCCTTGGTTCCCAGTGCCCCTCTACAGCTCCGTCTCCTCCCCTAGGTGGCTGAGCTCCAGGAACAAGTGACAGCCCAGAGCCAGGAGCAGGCCATCCTGCAGCGCTCCCTGCAGGACAAAGCCGCGGAGGTGGAGGTGGAGCGGATGGGCGCTAAGGTCAGTGTCTGAGACAGGTAGAGGCTGAGGGAGAGCAAGAAAGCCCCTGGCCAGGGTCTGCGGTGGCTCCAGAGAGGGACACTTCCTTTTCCTGCATCCTCCCCAGGCCCTGCAGGTGGAACTGAGCCATGCCCAGGAGGCCAAGCGCAGGCGGCAGCAGCAGACAGTCTTGGCAGAGGAGCAGCTGAAGCTTGTGGCCAATGCTGTCAGCAGGTGTCTAGGGTGGAGGGGTGGCTGCAATAGTATTTCTGCTTCTCCAGCTTCCTGGGCAGCTTGGAGTTAGCCTCAGGCAAGAGGGGCTGGAAGGCTGGCAATGGAGGATACAGAGTTGCAGATGTTTAGCCCTATGAAAGTTTCTGTGTTTGTTTTTTCCTGGGGCAGCCCCCTCTACATTCACACCATGATCACTTGCTGCAGGTGAGGCGATGCTTTCTCCTACTCTTCAGTCTAGTAACAGCTTGAGCTAAATAGAGCACATGGGACGATCTGCATCTTCAGATTTGTTCAAGGATGAGGGTGTAGATGCTTGAGCTCTCTTTCTTTCTTTCTATCTCTCTCTTTCATTAAAATTTTACAGGTATGTCCTCTTTAGTCTTTAGTTGGAAAAAAAATGTAATGTGTTTATTTAAAGCTATGTACTTTACCTACACGCATACTAGATATCCCATCTAAAATGTATGCTAGTTTTCTTCTAAACCAATTGCAAGCCCGTGTCTCTTGTACCAACCTCCTGGTTGTTTCATTGTTGACAATTGTTATATAACCTTTAGAAAAGACCCCCTAAGGAAAAACAAGTTTCTGTGTGCTGGTATTAACCTCTTCTCAGCCTTGGACATTGAGGTGCCTGAGGTAGGTGGCCTGTGTAGAGCTCTTAGCACAGTGGCTGGCCTGCAGTTGGTGCCCTGTAAACATTTACTGTTTTGTTTTGTTTTTTTAAAAAAGATAACTGGTAAGGGGATCTTAACCCTTGGCTTGGTGTTGTCAGTACCACGCTCACCCAGTGAGCTAACTGGCCATCTCTATATGGGATCCGAACCCGTGGCCTTGGTGTCATCAGTACCACACTCTCCCGAGTGAGCCACGGGCCGGCCCTAAATGTTTAGTGTTATCAGGCAGTTCTTCATGGATTAGATAACACTTTTTGGTTTAGTGAAATTATGATGCAGGATGGGTCCTTGCCCATCATTCCCTTCTCGATTTGTGCCTTGGAGACTCATTCAGCTTTAAAAAAAAAAACATGGAAAATTTCAAACCTGCATAGAATTGGACTAGTTATGATGAACCATTACTCAGATTCAATCCATTGCCTCTGCTTCCTACCTGCAGGAGAACAGAAAGATGCACAGTAGACAGGGTTTTACTTCGGTACCCGGAGATCACAGAGATGGTGCTTGCTCTTAACCATTTGTTGCCAAAAAGCCCTCCAGGCTTAAGGCAATAAGAACTTGGATTATTGCTAGGTTTTTTTAGTCCCTAGATGACTTGGAGATTTTATCAGAAAATGGCTTTAATAAGAGCCCCAGTGGTGTTGGAAGCACCTACTCAATTTTCAGGTAAAAGCGATCTCATCTTTGCTGTGCTGCTAGGGATACAGCTGTCAGCCTTTGTCATCATGTGTTTTTCTGTTGGTGCAGAATGGGATTCTCCTGAGGACATTTCAGCGCTGCCCCTAGGTACTCCCTTGGTCTCCTCCCTGGGGTCCTGTTTAGGCTTCTCAGTTTTCTGAGCCATGTTGGTCCTGCTTCTGACATAGCCAGCTGACAAAGCACATGGACCTGACCTTCACTGGGTGTTAGAGAATCTGTACTCCTAGGCTCATTGGAGAGGATGACTTTGATCTCTGATGCAGAATAGTGATCAAAACATGGGTTGTGAGAAATAAGCTCTGCAGGTTGCTTGAAAAGATATGTAGTCATTTAATGCTTTCTTGTGGCAAGGGCCCGTTAGAAGCTGATGGAAGCTATGCTGTCCCTGCTTGTGTAACAGTACAGGGTAGGGGGAGCTGTCTGTTCAAGGCATGGCCAGCCCTGGGGATGAGGTGAGGGTGGAGGGTCAGTGACCTATGCCTTCTCCAGCTCTCAGATCTGGCTCCAGACCACTGTGGCTAAGGTGGAACAGGCTGCATCCCAGCTTCCCAGCCTCAGCAACCGACTCAGCTATGCCGTCCGCAAGGTCCACACCATTCGGGGTGGGTAGGACAACTGCAAGCCTCATCCTGCCTCTGCTCCCACCTGCTCTAACCCTCTTCTTCCTGGCCCAGTTCTCTCTGATCCCACATCCACCCTCCTCCCTCCTCCTCTCCCCTGCAAACTCTTCCCTCTGTTGCTCTCTGCCTTTTCCCTCCTAGGCCTGATGGCTCGAAAACTGGCCCTTGCTCAGCTGCGCCAGGAGAGGTGATGTTTGGGCACTTTGAGGTGAATGGGGGTGGTGTGGGGGTAGGGCTCTAGAGTGTTGGCTGCTAGGAACCAAAACAGTGAGGACCAAGGGGGCTTAGGGGCAGGCAGCTAGGTGATTTCTCCTGACTCTGTTCCTCTGCCCTGTTCCAGCTGCCCCCTGCCCCCACCTCCACCAGTCCCAGACATGAGCCTGGAGTTGCAGCAGCTGCGGGAAGAACGGAACCACCTGGATGCAGAACTGCAGCTGAGTGCCCACCTCATCCAGCAGGAGGTGGGCCGGGCCCGGGAGCAAGGTACATCTTGTCCTGGAGTGGGTGCTGCGGGGATGGAGAGGAGGAGGGAAGACTTGGGATCTGGGCCACAGACCGAAAGGCCTGAGTGAATGCCACCTCTGGCCAGGGGAGGCAGAGCGGCAGCAGCTGAGCAAGGTGGCCCAGCAGCTGGAGCAGGAGCTGCAGCGCACGCAGGAGTCCCTGGCTAGTGTGGGACTGCAGCTGGAAGCGGCTCGCCAGAGCCAGCAGGAGAGCACTGAGGAGGCTGCCAGTCTCCGACGGGAGCTGAACCAGCAGCAGAAGATCTATGGGCAAGGTGTGGGGGAAAGGAGATGGGTGGGGGTTGCACTGAGACCCCCGAACCAAGGCTGCACCTGACACTCCCAATCATCACCTTCACCGCAGCTCTGCAAGAGAAAGTGGCCGAAGTAGAAACTCGGCTGCGGGAACAGCTGTTAGACTCGGAGAGGCGACTGAATGATGCTCGGAGGGAGCATGCCAAGGCTGGTGAGATTTGCCAGGGCGGACATGGGCCTTGCAGGAAGAAGGAAGTGTTGAGACGTGAAGTTATTATCTTCCCCCAAACTTTTTTTGAAGTTATTTATTGAAGTACGTAAGTAATGAAGTTATTGAGGAATGACATAGATGAATTCTTATGTGGTGGACACACCCATGTAGCCAGCACCAGATCAAGAATCAGACCTTGACCAGCTCTGGAGGTCCCTGTGCCCCTCCTAGTTGCTTTCCTTCCACAAAGGCCACCACCATCCGTGTGTCTAACTCCAGCAATTACCCACCAGCAAAAATTTCAAACACCTAGATGAGTTAAAAGAATTGTGTAATGAATACTCACATATTTACATGCACACACACGTGTACATATACATTTTTTTGAGTTTTATTTAAGTTGCAAACATGATTGTTCAGCTGCATCTCCCATAAATAGGACATTCTCCTGTGTAACTGCAATACCATTATCACACTTTAAGAAAATGATCACTAATTGCACAAAATCTTTTTTTTTTTTTTAAAGATGACCAGTAAGGGAAGCTTAACCCTTGGCTTGGTGTTGTCAGCACCGCGCTCAGCCAGTGAGCGAACTGGCCATCCCTATATGGGATCTGAACCCGTGGCCTTAGTGTTATCAGCCCCGCACTCCCCTGAGTGAGCCACGGGCAGGCCCCCAAAATCTTTTTTTTTTTTTAAAGATGACCAGTAAGGGAAGCTTAACCCTTGGCTTGGTGTTGTCAGCACCGCGCTCAGCCAGTGAGCGAACTGGCCATCCCTATATGGGATCTGAACCCGTGGCCTTAGTGTTATCAGCACCGCACTCTCCTGAGTGAGCCACGGGCAGGCCCCCAAAATCTTTTTTTTAATTGCACAAAATCTAATATCCAGTTCATATTCAGATCTCCCCTAGGGATGTCTGGGATGGTTTGGGGATGGGGACAGTGCTTTGGGTTCACAGGATCCTAGAGCATCAGCCCACCCCTCCCACTGTACAGAAGCACACTGAGGTCACAGAGCAGAACGACTACCTGAGTTAGATCTGGTGGCCCAGCGTCCCTGCCCATCATTCCAGTCTTGTTTTCATGGTGCCTGGCTGCCTCTGGGCTGATCCACGCCTACCACCTCTGTGTCCTGGCTTCTCTGTAGTGGTGTCCTTGCGCCAGATCCAGCGCAAAGCCACACGGGAAAAGGAGCGGAACCAGGAACTTAGGCGCCTGCAGGATGAGGCCCGGAAAGAGGAGGGGCAGCGGCTGACCTGGCGTGTGCAGGAACTGGAGAGGGACAAGAACCTCATGCTGGTAGGGACGGCAGAGACCAGGGCCCATTTTGGGCCAGTGATTGGGCAGAGGCATGGAAAGAGGAGAGGGAGGTTCTGCCCGGGCTAGGTGGCGTTTAACCCTCTCCTTCCCAGGCCACCTTGCAGCAGGAGGGTCTCCTCTCCCATTACAAGCAGCAGCGACTGTTGGCAGTTCTCCCTTCCCTCCCGGATAAGGAGAAATGTGTGGAGTCCAGCCCCCGGCCTCCAGGGTCTTCAGCACCTGTGCCTCCAGCAACAGCAGTGTCCACCAGGGAGCCCATCAAAGGTAACAGCTAAGCATGACAGGACAAATGGGGGCACTTGAGAAACCTCTACTGCAGACATTCTTGCCTGCGTGAATGTTGTTCTCTGTGATCCTTGGAAGCCCTCAGCCTCTTATCCACACCTACCTCGGAACACAGAACCTTCTCCCTGCTAATCCTCGTTCCTGTGCCAGCCCTGTTCCCTCTGCACAATAGCCGCAAGAGTCTTCTCTTGTCAAGTGCCTATCCCTGGGTGTCTTTTTTCCCAGGGTCCCTCTCTGTCCTGCTCGATGACCTGCAGGGCCTGAGTGAGGCCATTTCTAAAGAGGAAGCTATTTGTCAAGGAGACAACCAGAACTCTCCTGCTCCAGTCCGCCACTGAGCAGCTAAGCAGCTGGGGCTCGGGGGAAGCCAATCTGGGGCCAGAGGATTGTGGAGAAGTGGGGGCAGGGGCCAGCCTGGCCCTCTTCCCCATCCAGTGGCCGGGCCCCAGGACACCAGCTACCAGGAAGTCCAAATTCTCCTGCACTGAATAAAGATGACTACTGTAGGAGCCATTGTTTGGAAATGTCATCTCTGGGAATGTAAGAGAATTCTCCCTGCAGTCATCTCTTCCTGGAGGTGTGACAAGTGGTCCCACACACAGCTTCTTTCTCTAGGTTGTACCTTTTCCAAACCCCTTTCTTAGACTGCTTTGGAAGTTTTTCTAGCACGTCCCATTTTTCTTTATTCTCAACTTTTATTTTTATTTTTGTATTTATTTATTTATTTTAAAAGATGACCGGTAAGGGGATCTTAACCCTTGACTTGGTGTTGTCAGCACCATGCTCTTCAAGTGAGCTAACCAGCCATCCCTATATGGGATCCAAACCCGTGGCCTTGGTGTTACCAACACCACACTCTCCCAAGTGAGCCATGGGCTGGCCCCTATTCTCAACTTTTAAAACCTCTGTTAGATGATAAATGCCAGGCGAGGGGAAAGTAGAACATTCACTCATTCAACAGGCGTCTGCGAGCCAGGCACTGTCCTACATGGAGGCTGCCGTGGTGGGCCCAACGGGCAAGGCCCCTGTGCACGCTTGCATTCTAGTGGGAGGGACAGATGGTAGGCTGGGTCCTAAATAGACAAACAAGATCATTCCAAACACTAAGTGCTGGGAAGAGAAGGTAAAATGTGATGTGGGGAGGGGTGGCATTAGGTGAGGGGACAAGAGAAGCCTCTGAGGAGGGGACCTTGTGTTGAGGTCCAAGTGAAAGGAGGGAGCTGTGAGGCCACCTGGGAGGAGAGTTCCTGTGGAGACATGGCAGAGTTTGGATTCTGTCCTAACTGTAAGAAGTAAGTTTCTACTGAAAGCCCTTAGTGTACTTTTTAAGCAGGGAAGAAGTGACATGGTTCGATGTACATTTTTAAGAGATCCTTTGGCTGGTTGTGGAGGATAGGCTTGGGAAGGGGAGGGATGAAGAGTGGGAGCTGGAGACCAACCAGAAGAGGGGGGCATGGAGAGAAATGGAGGTCCAGGATCAGGGAGTTGGGCTGGGTTTGGTGTAGTGTGAAAGAGGCTTGCAGGTGGATGGGGTGGGGTGGGGTGGGGGAGGAGAGGAATGAAGGTTTCTACATAAGCCATAGAGGGGATACTGGTGTCCCTTACTGCGGAGGAGCAGACCAGGCAGGGAACAAGTTGGGGAGGAATTGAGTTCTGTTTGGGACATATGTCTGAGAGGCCTATAGATCTCCATGCAGAGAGGACCTGGAGGAGCAAGTTCTGGGGGCAACTGAGAGACACACACAAGGAAACCGAGACCTAAAGGATGGGGGAGGGCACACGGGCAGAGAGGGAGATTACTGAGGGAGGAGGAGGAGGCTGGGGTTTCAGGAGCAAGGCTGCTGCTTCCTGAGCCGCTGGGCGGAGACCAGGGCAACCAGCTCTGTGTGGGGAGAGGGAATCAGGATGTCCTCGTATCTTCTTCCTCTTCTGCAGTCACCCCAGGTGGCTTCTGGATGGAATTCCTCAAATGTCACTGCCTGGGAGGTCCCCTGCATGCTGAAGAAGGCACACACTGGAGGGCAGCATGCCTGGGCCCTGAGAGGGGCTAGTGGGGCATGGGAGTGGGTGGGAAGCTGGGGTACAAGCTGACATTCTCCTGGCCACATCCCAAGTTTCAAAGGCACCCCTCCCCTCAGCCTGGGCATCCTGTCTCCCAGCCCCTTTAATTACGGTGGCTTCCCCACGCGTGGTTTGCTCCCATTCTTTGGCTTCCAATAGCTGTGAGGGACCCCTGTGATTATGGAGATGACAAGTGGGTATTGATTGCTTCAGGGCGTGGATAGAGAGGGCATGAAAACAAGGGTGGGGTGACCCAGGGTCTGGGTCACTGATAGGGAGAGCCAGGGTGGCTGGGTGGCTGGGTCCTGGGCCAAAGGACTGAAATGAGGGACGCCACCGTCAGAGGTTACACATTAGCCATGGCCTTCTAAACGGGTTTGACCAGTTGAGTTCTGATGGGTCCTTTGTGTCACTGGGCTGGCCCCTCCGCAGAGATTGGCTTCCTCCTCTCCCTCCTCCCCTATAAAGCTACTTGGGGTTCCCAGACACCCAGACTCAGCCCACCCCGACTGTGGGGGCCAGTAGACAGCCATGATGCTCAACTGGAAGCTACTGGGGATCCTGGTCCTTTGCCTGTATGCTGGAGGTGAGCTGCGAGTAGAGGCCAAGGGTGCAGTTTGAGGCGATGGTCACGATAAGGCAGGGGTGACCGATAAGAAGGAAGGGGGTGAATTGGACACAGGGATGGGGGAGATTCTGGAAATTTGCTCAAGGGGAAGAGTTAAAGAGATATAGGTGACACAGGAAGGTGCCTTTTGGCTCAAATGTTTTGCTGGTTCAGATGTAGCTCCATGTGATTATTTTTGGTCAGAATTCAGGTTTGGGGGGCAAATATTCATTGGTGTGGAGGTCTGTGTTGAGAAGGGTGGGGTCATTGTAGAGGGGGATCTGGGTGCTACATGGTGCCAAGGCGTAGACCTCTTTGGGGTGCACGCCAGCCTGGGGGCCGTGCCAGTGAGGGGGGAGTCGCAGCAGAGTTACATGGAGCTTATTTTGGGGGAGTTCCAGTCAGTTTATTTCATTTATTTATCTTTGGTGGCTGACCAGTACAGGGATTGAACCCTGAACTTGGTGTTAACTCCACGCTGTAACCAACTGAGCTAACTGGCCAGCCCTCTGATCAGTCTAAAGTTGGTCAAGTTAATGGTTTGGATCAGTATGGTCCCCTCATTTTATGATCACCTCAGTATTTTGTTAATATGTGGAGAGCTCTCTGAGAGTTCCTTTTGAAGTTTGTTTGTGGGATTAGCTCAGGCTCTGGCCCATCCCAGAGAGGCCCTGCCTTTTGGATCCGAAGCTGGGGTGGGTGTGGTGGGGACAGGTGTGGCCCTCACCACCTCTGACCTTTCTCCATCCTCCTCTACAGGCATCTCAGGCAGCGGGGACTACCCCTCTCCCCCACTCACAGAGACCCGAGAGGAGGAGAGCGCCCCAACATTGCCTCAGGGCCCCCCAGTCCCTGGTGACCCCTGGCCAGGGGCACCCCCTCTCTTTGAGGACCCTCCACCTCCAGGTCCCAATCGTCCGTGGAGAGACCTGCCTGAAACTGGAGTGTGGCCCCCTGAGCCCCCTAGAACTGATCCCCCTCAACCCCCCCGGCCTGACGACCCCTGGCCAGCAGGACCCCAGCCCCCAGAAAACCCCTGGCCACCTGCCCCTGAGGTTGACCACAGACCTCAGGAGGAGCCAGACCTTGACCCACCCCGGGAACGGTACCGATAAGGGGGATCCCCCAGAGTCACTCCTGCTCCCAGGCATCTCGGGCCTCCAGGCAGAGTGCACCCAAGCCCGTCTCCACTCTTCTGATTCCCCTTAAATTCTCCCCAATTTAGACTAACTCTTTTAAGTCCCTTCCTCATTTGCTCAATTTTATAATTTTATTCTAAAGCAGGAAGGTGTCATTTTCAGTATTTTCTGTCCCCTCCTGAGATCTGTATTTAACTCCCATGTTTCCCCCATTTTTTCTGTGAGAGCCTAACATACACTCCTACCTCATGTCCAGGGCTCTCTCCCCACCTGCCTCCCACCTCGTCTTCCCCCGAGTCCCCCAAGCTGCGGCAGGGCTGGCGGCACTGTGCTCCCTGCTGCCACCTGGTGGCCTACGCCCGGGAACTATCAGTAGACAGTGATGGCGCTTCCATGAAATGGAAAAATAAAAACTACGTTTGCTTAATTTTGAATCTAGTCTGCTTTTTTTTCCCAAACCAATGATTAAGTTTTTGAATATTCAGATGCCCTCCTCACAGTTCTAAACTTAACAGATCTGGAAGCAATTTGAGTTTCTATTTGTCCGACATGCAATGCTTAAGGATGTGGTCTTCAGCAGAGGAGGGTTTGAAATGTAACCACTAGAGTCACAAGGATATTCAGACCCACATTTCTTGCTTTCTAGGACCCCCGTCTTGAATGAGAAAACAAGTTAAGTCTCTCTTTAATGGTTTGCATACTCCTGGCAATACATGCAAACTTTCCCAGGGATATATGGGCAGGGCTAGTTTTAAGGGAATTAGTTTCTGGATGCACATGTGCTGCTAAGATGAATCTCTTGCCCACCTGGAACCTCACCAGCATGCTCTTCCTGGAGCTGCCAAACAAAGGTCAATAGGAAACAAACCAGCCGTTTCCATCTCATTAAGAGATGCATTTTTCAGTAAAAGTTTACTTCATTGTTAATATTTGTAGTTTGTTTTTTTTTTTAAAGATGACCAGTAAGGGGATCTTAACCCTTGACTTGGGTTGTCAGCACCACACTCTCCCGAGTGAGCTAACCGGCCAGCCCTAATATTTGTAGTTTTGATCAATTGTGTCTTGCAAGAATTGTAATTATTTTATTTGTTTTATTAGTTGGTAGATTTTTGGGGTTTTTTTATTGAACCATAATTGATTATACATATTTTGGGGATTCAATATTGACATATGTTGATCAAATCAATATTACTAGTATGTATATTGTTACAAATTGTACTTATTCTTTTTTTTAAGATGACTGGTAAGGGGATCTTAACTTCTTGACTTGGTGTTGTCAGCACCACACTCCCCCAAGTGAGCTAACCGGCCATCCCTACATAGGGATCCGAACCCGTGGCCTTGGTGTTATCAGCACCACACTCTCCCAAGTGAGCCACGGGCCAGCTCTCAAGTTGTACTTATTCTTTATGCCCCTTGTCCAATCTCTCCCTCCCTCCCCACTCCCACCACTGATAACCCTAGATTCCTTCTCTCCCTCTGAAAGAATAATGGTTACTCTGTTGATTTGTTGCCTAGATGATCTGTCCAATGCTGAAAGGTGTGTTCAGGTCCCCCATTATTATCATACAGCAGATGCTTCATCTGTCACTCAGGAATGAGCTTTGTGGAGAGAGACATCCTCTTCTTTCCTTTGGTCTCTGCTGGTGACTTTCCTTGTGTCAATACATTCCAGTGGCTGGCAGACCATCTGCGTGGTGGTCGTGATGACTAGCCACTTTCGTGGCAGCTGTGGTTACTGTGGTGGCTGTGGTGGGCCACCTACATGGAGGTGATGTTTTTGGCATGTTCCTTGGTGCTGGTGGTATGCCTGGTTGCGGGGGGGTCTGGGTCTGGTCTCCAGCTCCAGCCCTGGGCCCCAGGCAGGGCCCCGAAGCACTGGCGGTGTGCCTGGATGTGGGCATGTCATCCAGTCCCCGGTTCCATGTCTTTGCTTTTGCTTACTTCTAAAATGGGGGAACTTCCTATGGGAACCAGTACTTGAGCTGCGTGGTTCAGGTAAATTGCTGCTGTTTCCCTAGGGAAGGCTTTTTGTGCAGCTGAGGGTTTAACAGTTGACCTTATATTTACTCCACCTCTCCAGAGACCAGGTGCACCTGGGTTGTGTAGAAACTCTGATTTGGGCCTGAATCTTTTCATCAAACTGCACCCCATGCAATTCTGCATTCCCGACCAGTCTCCTCTGAGTGGTCCTGTGCTGACTGGGGGGCAGGTTGGCTGTCTTTGCTGTGTCCCAGTGTTCTCCCGGTGAGCCTGTCTCCGCCACCGCCCGTGCCCCAAACACTTCCCATGGAATGGGCCCTGCAACAGTCCCTTGTGATGACTCACCAGCCTCTGAACGGCTCCCCTTTTTCAGCTGTTCTGGCTCCTCACTCCTGCGTGGGTCCACAGGAACCCTATCAGTGGTCTTGCTGTCCTGGGGGCCACCAAGGCCCTCTTCTCCCCTGCTGCCTCCAAGCAACTCCATCCAAAGGGCACAGCTGCGGCTTCTGCCGGCTCCTGCTCCATGCACTCAGAAGTTCTAGCCTTAAAGCAGCTGTGGCCCAAAATGCTCAGAGCAGTTTTTTCTTTCTCTCATCGTGGTTTCTCCCATGGTCATGAACTCCGTAGGTCTCTCCTCCTCTTCCCCTGAGCTCCAGCAGCCCCAGCTTGGCTGTTGTTACATTTTTATAGTTGTAAATTGGTTGATTTGTGTGAGAGAGTGATGCTAGGGACCGTCTATTCTGCCATCTTGACCAGAACTCTAAAAATTGTAATTATAGGGCTGGCCCGGTGGCGCACTGCTACAGTGCGCCGCTTGGGAGCATGGTGGCGCTCCCGCCGAGGGTTCGGATCCCACATACAGACCGGTTCCCGCTCACTGGCTGAGCGAGGTGCGGGCGCAGCACCGAGGTTTGCGATCCCGTTGCCGATCCCAGTCCGGTACAGGCGCGACACTGAGGGTTGCGATCTGTTGCCCGACACGAAAAAAGACAAAAAGGAAAAAAAAAATTGTAATTATAAATCCAGTGCACAATAACTAACACTTGAAACTTATGGTTATAGGAAATAAATTTCAATTTATATACATATTTTTGTTACAGAGATATACAATAAAAAACTTTCCAAAAAAGATAAACAATAAAAAACAAAAAAAGTAGAGATATACAACAAAAAAACATATTTCATTAGGATAAAATTATATAGGGAAAGTAGAATTGAAAAAGGAACGAAAGAGAAAAAGGAACAAGATAAAATTTCTGACTAGTTAAAGGGCCTGTTTGCATATTTCTTATAAGTGTTAATAGATTGACAGTGTCATGGTATTATATTCTACCTACTACAGTTAAAAGAATAATGTGACTTTTGATAGGTTAGTATTTACAATTCAAAGTATACCCTTTGAAATATTTAAACTTACAGTTAAAAATGTTAGATGTTATGACCTAATTGTGAAAATTTAAAAAAAGATGCAGACTTAAAAGTGTGTAAGGGATACATAGCTTTTCAAAATTCTTTAAAGGTGCAGTCAGTTTCTAAGGGCAGGAGTCCAGGGATCCAGTGGTCTAGTGTCAATCAAGTGGCTGACCAGGGTTGGGGTTGAAGAGGGGCTAAAAGAAATTGAGGTGCGTGACTTTAAAATTCACTCCTGAAGACACAGTTTGCTTATGTGGTAACGCCCATTAAAACCTACACGTGACGTGAATGAAACAAGACTAAGGTTAGGGTTTAGGAATGATCTTAAAACACATTAAGAATTGTAGAGATGAGCCTAGTAGACTTTTAGACTAAAAAGTAGACTGGATTCACCCATTCATTCATTAAGTCGTTATCTTACACCCTTAATATGTCCATCAATGCTGGGTGCCCTGGGAGAATACAAAAATATAAAGAATACTTTAAAAATATACTGGTAAAGTGTTCTTTATATTCTTTTCTACAGTTCCTACTCTCAGGAAGCTTAACATTAAGCCAGGGGGAAAAGGGACTAACATGCAAAGTTATATAACAATTTTGCAGGCAGTAAGGATGCATACAACTAAGTAATTACATGAGTAAGCACCAAAATAATAGCTTTGGCAGTAAACGCCATGAGTTCAGAAGAGTCATGGTGATCTGGAATAGTCTGGGGAGGCTTCCAGGAGGAGGCTGCACCCCGCTCCGAGCAGGCCCCGGAAGGAAGGGCCGGTCGTGTGCGGCGGGACCGGCCAGGAGGGGCAGACCCGGGCCTCGCGCTGTGTCCTGCAGCCTGACACCGACCACCTGCGCGGCCCGGCCTGCGAGCCTGTGTGCGCCAGGCTGCTGCAGGCCTCCCCCTTGGTGCTGCTCTCTCTGCCTGGTTCTCCACGCACCAGTCCCCACCTCCACCCCCGGTCCTGTGCCACCCGACAGCAGTGACTTATTCTGTCTTCCACTCCCAGCGCACGAGCCACTTGGGGCCAGAGACTGTATTCTGCACGTTTCTTCTCGGACCCCTTTACCTGACTCCCGGTGTGCTGTATCACTCCCAACAGCACCACCTACGCCTCGGGCTGTCCGGACCTTTGCCTGGAGCAGAGTGCCGAGAGCACCTGGACATTTTTCTCTCGCACAGCCTCACGTCCTCCCCAGCTCCCTCCGCCGTCCCCAGGCCTTAACCGATGACTGACGCGTATGGAGGTACCCTGAGCCGAAGCTGCCCTCCATGAGACTTTGCTTGGTCATTTGCTTGGCCCACTTGCAGGTCCCACTTCCCCACTCCCTTTTGACTCCTCCCCACTCTCATCACGTTTCAATAAATCTTTTACTTGAATCTTTGTCTCAGGGATCCAACCTATACCACAAAGTAGCCAGAGTAGCTACTTTCTACTGTGCATGTGCTACAGGGCACTGTTGCCAAACTCTCCACAGATTAAGGTCTCGGTTAACTTGCACAATAACCCTATCTATCCTTATCACCATTTCGAAGAAGAGAGAAATTGAGGCTGGGAGGGGCGTGACTTGTGCAAGGTCGTACAGGGGACGAATGGCAGAAATGGGATTTGAACTTAGGTCTGTGCTGTGCTAACAACTTTGCTTTATAACCGCAACGTTATCCCA